AACTCTTTGAGAGATATCATCCAAATCAGTATCCACTTAGAAGAATCCAACCGACGCAAATATGGCCATCCTAAAGACTAATTTCATTATACTTACGGCTATATTAAATAACGTGCTGTATACAAACGTGCTGAGTGGCGTACAACAAATGGCGATACGTTTTGACAATCAAACAGAATGGCGAAAGATGAATTTCTCGGTGGTAAATAATATGAAGCTAAATACGCTTTCCATAGGATCTTGGACACCAATGCTTTTTAAATGGAAAACGTGTAGTTAACTCTGGACAGTAGAGTGCGGTATGGGCATTTAAGTAAAGATTGGACAAATATTGCTAATAATTTAAATGAGGGAAAGTTATTTGTAATACGGTAAAGACAATGAAAATAAAAATATATTTTGGAAAACGGCATTATGAAGATAACTCAGTATTGATTAACATCGAGCAGAAAAATCATGCGCAGAACGAAAAGCCAGAAGGGCCTTAGCGTGTTTCTCGAGTATTACTGGTCCGATTCAAACGGGAAAAACGGCATTATGAAGATAACTCAGTATTGATTAACATCGAGCAGAAAAATCATGCGCAGAACGAATCTAAGGTACATCGAAATTCTTTAGGAAGTTTGAAAGGTACAAAGAGAGACAAATATTTAAATATAATAAGACCTATGTTTATACATGGTGGTAAAGGGATCGTCAAGTACTCTGGTAAAGGTTATACGATTGAAAATAAAAGCCAATTAATTTACAATAAGAAGCCTATAGAATATGTTTATTGGGATGATCCCAACGAACTTTGCGATCGATTGAAGTTGTTGGTGGCTTCGAAGAGACAACGAAATCGTGAGCATAAACGAACTTCAATCGATCGCAAAGTTCGTTGGGATCATCCCAATAAACATATTCTATAGGCTTCTTATTGTAAATTAATTGGCTTTTATTTTCAACGTATAACCTTTACCAGAGTACTTGACAATCCCTTTACCACCATGTATAAACATAGGTCTTATTATTTTTAAATATTTGTCTCTCTTTGTACCTTTCAAATTTCCTAAAGAATTTCGATGTACCTTAGATTCGTTCTGCGTATGATTTTTCTGCTCGATGTTAATCAATACTGAGTTATCTTCATAATGCCGTTTTCCAAAATATATTTTTATTTTCATTGTCCAATGTTGACTTTACCGTATTACAAATAACTTTCCCTCACTTAAATTATTAGCAATATTTGTCCAATCTTTACTTAAATGCCCATACCGCACTCTACTGTCGAGTTAACTACATTATTCCATTTAAAAAGCATTGGTGTCCAAGATCCTATGTAGAGAACGTGGTATAGATTAACGTCGAATAGAAAAATCATGCGCAGAACGAAAAGCCAGAAGGGCCTTAGCGTGTATCTCAGCTATTGTTGGTCCGATCCAAACGGGAAAAACGGAATTATGTAGAGAACGAGGTATACATTAACGTTGAACAGAAAATTGCCATTCCCAAGTACACATGCGCAATGACAATGCCAAAAAGACCTTCTCGTATGCCCTCCTAACATTCGTTAAGTATAAGGGTCGTTCACGTGAACGTGTGTCGCAACGACACTTACATCACGTTCGTTTGTACTACTGCGCGTGCGCAAAAATCTTGGTGGTGGGGGTAATTAATTATTTGTTTAAGGTATTGAGACATTAAAGACTCTTCCAGTCTACTGAGACATTTTCTACGAGTAGCTCCTCTAAAAATAACAAAAAAATGTCTTAACTGCCAAAAATTGATTATTTGACTCTCTTGAATCTAAACGAAATTAACGCTTTGTCGCCTCAGGAAATGGCACAAGATTACGAAGAATTGTCTAAAGAATGGTATCACTTAATATTAAATGAAAAGGACTTTAATTTACTTGCTTGTGCCCGAAATATTAAATGGTATTCTATTTGTCGATGTCATCTAATAGCAGACGATGGTAGTACAGCACATGAACATCTTCATGCTTTAATACATTTTACTAATGGATTTACAATGTTAGCCTACAAGAAAAGACTGTAGCACTGGTACACGACTCCATTCAAAAACAACTTTCAATAAAATAATTTGCTTGGACCATGCTGTTGGTGTCCTCAGATACATCACCTGTGCTGATGGACAAAAGCCGCTTAGAAGGGATGGAGATGGTCTTAGAGGTACACCTGATTCTCATTACGATAGAAGAGCATTCAAACAAGATTGGTTACATTCCAGAGGAAAACAGTGTTGCTTAGTACGTACAGAAATTTTAGAATTAGCATCTGAAGGTGTAAGACTTAGAAAAATACACGTTTAAACACGAACTTCATGATAAATCTACATGTAGATGTGATAGAGGTGCCGAAGGAATAAGGCGGAGGGAAGAAGCTAACGAGAAACGAAGACAATTTTACAAAACAGAACGGGGAATGGAAATTATGAATAATTACAAAGAAAAACAAATTAAGAAAAAGAAACTAATTACAAGTTTACTGAAAATGGGCCTAAATAAAAAAGCTGAGCTTCAAAGATAGACAATTTTGAAACTCATTGAGTTACTGTAAATACTTAATACTGTTACTTTCAAAATTTAATTTTGAAACAAAATATATTTCTATTTTCATTGTCCAATGTTGACTTTACCCTATTACAAATAACTTTTCCTACGACCACTTAGGAAAGTGACACATATCACACTATATAGTCCTTTGGGAAGTGCCCTATATCACACGCGTATGAATAAAAATTTACTTTCCACCCGTGTACGAATATGTTACTTTCCGCAGTAGCTGTCACAAAATGTCAAACACCTAATTTCTATTTTGATCTATGTAATGTCCATATTAATACTAAAATCGATATGATTGTTAAATCATTGAAATTGTTGTAAATTAGATCCTAGATATTTATCTTTAACAATTATTATTAAAATAATTTTAAAATAATGTTTGCTCTTTATTCTGGTTAAATACATAATCGATTAGATCATTCAATTGACACAAGGGCTATTGCTCAGTTGGTTAGGACGTCGAACTTATCTACTTTGCAATTTGAGACCTGGCGAGCGACCGCGTTCAAATCCTGGTCAGATTTTTTTTGTTTTTTTTTTTATTTTTTTATTTTTTCTAGTTTTTTTTTTTAGAAAATATGAAAATTGAATAAATATGATTATTGTTGATCATTTTTTTAAAAACATTTTAATTATTATAGTAATAATAACCTTGGTTTTACATTTTTTGATGAAATTATTTTGTGGTCGTAGGAAAAATATTGTACATCACTTGTGTGAAAAGTGATTTTCCACACTCGTGTGATAGTCGCACTCGGCTTGTGCCTCGTGCGACAATATTTCCCACTCGTGTGAAAAATGTCACTTTCCACACTCGTAATGTAATATACTATTCCCTCATTTAAATTATTAACAATATTTGTCCAATCTTTACTTAAATGCCCATACCGCACTCTATTGTCCAGAGTTAACTACACGTTTTCCATTTAAAAAGCATTGGTGTCCAAGATCCTATGGAAAACGTATTTAGCTTCATATTATTTACCACCGAGAAATTCATCTTTCGCCATTCTGTTTGATTGTCAAAACGTATCGCCATTTATTGTACGCCACTCGGCACGTTTGTATACAGCACGTTATTTAATATAGCCGTAAGTATAATGAAATTAGCCTTTAGGATGGCCATATTTGCGTCGGTTGGATTCTTCTAAGTGGATACTGATTTGGATGATATCTCTCAAAGAGTTTATCCCACAGACTTAAATTTGTCAAATCGCTTAAAACTTGTTTTTTATCTTCATATAATTTTATGTCTCTATTTAGTTTTCCAACTTTTTCACCAAACTCTTCAATTCTACGTCTATTCTCTTTGCTAGACATCTCAGTACTAAGAAAAAAAGATTGAAGCACCTATTTTACTTTAAAAAAAAATATATTGCCGGGTGTAGGATTCGAACCTACGCCTCCTCTCGGAGATCTGGGTTGTTAACTTTGACGCCTTAAACCGCTCGGCCAACCCGGCTGTAGTAGTAGCAGTAGTTATTCTAGTACTTAACCCTCGATACTGGCAGAAACGAAACGTCTACTGGCAGAAACGAAACGTGAAACGTGAAATGAAAACGTCAAATGTTAATCTATACCGCGTTCTCTACATAGTGCCGTTTTTCCCGTTTGAATCGGACCAGTAGTATCCGAGAAACACGCTAAGGCCCTTGTGGCTTTTCGTGAAAAAACCCATTGTTTTTGTTCCAGCAGCTACAAAAGCAGCACCCAGTATAAAAAAAATATATTCTTTATAAAAAAAACCTCTCATTCCAAACCAGCAGCAGGAACGACACCCAGGATATAAGTTAATTTTATAATAATATATACCACTTGTAGTCGCTGGTTAAGGACCCCCGCTTCCCCACTTCCCCGTTGGTGGATCGACGAGTTAGTTACTGATAAGATTCTCGACGCGTGACGTCACCGTAAAAAATAGCAGAATGAACCTTAGCGATTTCCCATGTTAATTTACATAAGGAATGGCCCAGAATGAACATAGCTCATTTACTGAGCCTTTTTAAACCTTTACAGTTCTATAACTACAATTATATTAAACTTTTAAATGATTTATTTGGCCAAAAGGTCCGGCATTAGAAAGTTCTACCCGGTTCTACCCCATCTAATATTTTGATTAAACAGAGTTAAGATTTGTATTACCCTACAAAAGTTACGTTTCGCTAACGCAAGATGGAGTTACGATAGCACCAAAATTGTTGAAAACTATCGCTCTAAACATTATAGTTTTCTATAACTACAAATATTGTTAATTAGAGTTGGTACGTGAAGCAAAAGAGGGCACACTTGATATAGATATTACAGAGACGGAACAATATACGTTGTTGCCAAGTATATACACACAAAGAGATATCTACTATTCTAGTTGTCACGTAAATATTAATGAAATAGCGTCAGATTAAAAAAATGGAATATAGGATTGGATAGAACCTACCAGTAGGCAAATCGAAGGCTCTCATCTCTTTTTCAGCATCCCAAAATCTGATGATTCTGGAATCACCAGCGGTGATTAAGGTCTGTGTCCATTGTTCCCACGTCATTTCGATTCCTAAATATAAAAAAAAAATAATGAACTATAAAGACGTTTATGTACGAATTTTCTTATTGACAAATTAGTATAGTCTCGATGATTACAAGTTACATTTACGAAATTTAAGGGCAACCCCTACTTTATAATACCTGGCGACCAAATTTATTTACTAATTTTGAAGGCATATAGATATAAATGTCGAGTTTTCACTGGACATCTCTTAAAAAATATATATTTTTTGACATATTTCAATGTTGTCCTGTTACACCAGAAATTAGCGAAACTTTGTTTTTTCATATCTTGTATGTTTTTTAGACATTCAGAAAGTTTCTTCTTTTACATTTCTAAAACTATAACGTACGTGAGATTTTTTGTTTAAAATTCTATATTTTTTTCGTTTTCCATAAGAAAGTCAAAACTAGATCCGCAATGCAAAAACTGCCAAGCTATTTGGACACACACAATATTTGCAAAAAAAAATCAAGATGCGTAAAGTGCGCAGAAAAACATACGAAGGATTGTGTAAAAAGTCCAGAACAATAACTAAAGTGTATAAAATGCCTAATTGAACATCCTGTTAACTACTAGCTAAAACCTTTCATATAAGGAACGATAACACCACTAAAACTAAAATAATGACGAGGCAGAAGAAACCCATAAACGTTTTTTCTACTGTCAGAAATTAACATATTCTCAGGTAACAAACTAACAGGAGCAACGAATTAAAAGGTCACAACCAGCCACAAATTGCACAGCATACTGCACAGTTAGCCAGCCTAACAGAAAGTACCACTTATGAATTACTAGCTTTTGCCCGCGGCTTTGCACGCGTGGAGTCGTGTTTTTAATATGAAAAATAAAATGCATGAGTTTTCGTATTTATTCGTGTTTATTCCTATTTATTCGATTTATTCCCATTTATTCGATTTATTCCCATTTATTCCAATTTATTCCAATTTATTCCAATTTATTCCAATTTATTCCAATTTATTCCTATTTATTTATTTCAATTTATTTCAATTTATTTCAATTTATTCCAATTTATTCCAATTTATTCCAATTTATTCCAATTTATTCCAATTTATTCCAATTTATTCCAATTTATTCCAATTTATTCCTATCTATTCCTATCTATTCTATTCCTATTTATTCCTATTTATTCCTATTTATTCCTATTTATTCCTATTTATTCCTATTTATTCCTATTTATTCCTATTTATTCCTATTTATTCCTATTTATTCCTATTTATTCCTATTTATTCCTATTTATTCCTATTTATTCCTATTTATTCCTATTTATTCCTATTTATTCCTATTTATTCCTATTTATTCCTATTTATTCCTATTTATTCCTATTTATTCCTATTTATTCCTATTTATTCCTATTTATTCCTATTTACTCCTATTTATTCCTATTTATTCCTATTTATTCCAATTTATTCCTATTTATTCCAATTTATTCCAATTTATTTTAATTTATTCCTATTTATTCCAATTTATTCCAATTTATTCCAATTTATTCCAATTTATTCCAATTTATTCCAATTTATTCCAATTTATTCCAATTTATGCCTATTTATGTCTATTTATGTCTATTTATGCCTATTTATTCCTATTTATTCCTATTTATTCCAATTTATTCCAATTTATTCCAATTTATTCCAATTTATTCCAATTTATTCCAATTTATTCCAATTTATTCCAATTTATTCCAATTTATTCCAATTTATTCCAATTTATTCCTATTTATTCCTATTTATTCCTATTTATTCCTATTTATTCCTATTTATTCCTATTTATTCCTATTTATTCCTATTTATTCCTATTTATTCCTATTTATTCCTATTTATTCCTATTTATTCCAATTTATTCCTATTTATTCCTATTTATTCCTATTTATTCCTATTTATTCCTATTTATTCCTATTTATTCCTATTTATTCCAATTTCTTCCAATTTATTCCAATTTATTCCAATTTATTCCAATTTATTCCAATTTATTCCTATTTATTCCTATTTATGCCTATTTATTCCTATTTATTCCTATTTATTCCTATTTATTCCTATTTATTCCAATTTATTCCAATTTATTCCAAATTATTCCTATTTATTCCAATTTATTCCAATTTATTCCAATTTATTCCAATTTATTCCAATTTATTCCAATTTATTCCAATTTATTCCTATTTATTCCTATTTATTCCTATTTATTCCTATTTATTCCTATTTATTCCTATTTATTCCTATTTATTCCTATTTATTCCTATTTATTCCTATTTATTCCTACTTATTCCTATTTATTCCTATTTATTCCTATTTATTCCTATTTATTCCTATTTATTCCTATTTATTCCTATTTATTCCTATTTATTCCTATTTATTCCTATTTATTCCTATTTATTCCTATTTATTCCTATTTATTCCTATTTATTCCTATTTATTCCTATTTATTCCTATTTATTCCTATTTATTCCTATTTATTCCTATTTATTCCTATTTATTCCTATTTATTCCTATTTATTCCTATTTATTCCTATTTATTCCTATTTATTCCTATTTATTCCTATTTATTCCTATTTATTCCTATTTATTCCTATTTATTCCTATTTATTCCTATTTATTCCTATTTATTCCTATTTATTCCTATTTATTCCTATTTATTCCTATTTATTCCTATTTATTCCTATTTATTCCAATTTATTCCTATTTATTCCTATTTATTCCTATTTATTCCTATTTATTCCTATTTATTCCTATTTATTCCAATTTCTTCCAATTTATTCCAATTTATTCCAATTTATTCCTATTTATTCCTATTTATGCCTATTTATTCCTATTTATTCCTATTTATTCCTATTTATTCCTATTTATTCCTATTTATTCCAATTTATTCCAATTTATTCCAAATTATTCCTATTTATTCCAATTTATTCCAATTTATTCCAATTTATTCCAATTTATTCCAATTTATTCCAATTTATTCCTATTTATTCCTATTTATTCCTATTTATTCCTATTTATTCCTATTTATTCCTATTTATTCCTATTTATTCCTATTTATTCCTATTTATTCCTACTTATTCCTATTTATTCCTATTTATTCCTATTTATTCCTATTTATTCCTATTTATTCCTATTTATTCCTATTTATTCCTATTTATTCCTATTTATTCCTATTTATTCCTATTTATTCCTATTTATTCCTATTTATTCCTATTTATTCCTATTTATTCCTATTTATTCCTATTTATTCCTATTTATTCCTATTTATTCCTATTTATTCCTATTTATTCCTATTTATTCCTATTTATTCCTATTTATTCCTATTTATTCCTATTTATTCCTATTTATTCCTATTTATTCCTATTTATTCCTATTTATTCCTATTTATTCCTATTTATTCCTATTTATTCCTATTTATTCCTATTTATTCCTATTTATTCCTATTTATTCCTATTTATTCCTATTTATTCCTATTTATTCCTATTTATTCCTATTTATTCCTATTTATTCCTATTTATTCCTATTTATTCCTATTTATTCCTATTTATTCCTATTTATTTTAATTTATTCCTATTTATTCCTATTTATTCCTATTTATTCCTATTAATCCTATTTATTCCTATTTATTCCTATTTATTCCTATTTATTCCTATTTATTCCTATTTATTCCTATTTATTCCTATTTATTCCAATTTATTCCTATTTATTCCAATTTATTCCTATTTATTCCAATTTATTCCAATTTATTCCTATTTATTCCAATTTATTCCAATTTATTCCTATTTATTATAATTTATTCCTATTTATTCCTATTTATTCCTATTTATTCCTATTTATTCCTATTTATTCCTATTTATTCCTATTTATTCCTATTTATTCCTATTTATTCCTATTTATTCCTATTTATTCCTATTTATTCCTATTTATTCCTATTTATTCCAATTTATTTTAATTTATTTTAATTTATTCCTATTTATTCCAATTTATTTTAATTTATTTTAATTTATTCCTATTTATTCCTATTTATTCCTATTTATTCCTATTTATTCCTATTTATTCCTATTTATTCCTATTTATTCCTATTTATTCCTATTTATTCCTATTTATTCCTATTTATTCCTATTTATTCCTATTTATTCCTATTTATTCCTATTTATTCCTATTTATTCCTATTTATTCCTATTTATTCCTATTTATTCCTATTTATTCCTATTTATTCCTATTTATTCCTATTTATTCCTATTTATTCCTATTTATTCCTATTTATTCCTATTTATTCCTATTTATTCCTATTTATTCCTATTTATTCCTATTTATTCCTATTTATTCCTATTTATTCCTATTTATTCCTATTTATTCCTATTTATTCCTATTTATTCCTATTTATTCCTATTTATTCCTATTTATTCCTATTTATTCCTATTTATTCCTATTTATTCCTATTTATTTTAATTTATTCCTATTTATTCCTATTTATTCCTATTTATTCCTATTTATTCCTATTTATTCCTATTTATTCCTATTTATTCCTATTTATTCCCATTTATTCCCATTTATTCCTATTTATTCCTATTTATTCCAATTTATTCCAATTTATTCCAATTTATTCCTATTTATTCCAATTTATTCCTATTTATTCCAATTTATTCCAATTTATTCCTATTTATTCCAATTTATTCCAATTTATTCCTATTTATTATAATTTATTCCAATTTATTCCTATTTATTCCTATTTATTCCTATTTATTCCTATTTATTCCTATTTATTCCTATTTATTCCTATTTATTCCTATTTATTCCTATTTATTCCAATTTATTTTAATTTATTTTAATTTATTCCTATTTATTCCTATTTATTCCTATTTATTCCTATTTATTCCTATTTATTCCTATTTATTCCTATTTATTCCTATTTATTCCTATTTATTCCTATTTATTCCTATTTATTCCTATTTATTCCTATTTATTCCTATTTATTCCTATTTATTCCTATTTATTCCTATTTATTCCTATTTA